TTGCTTTGTCTGTCTTTCTAAGGCTTTTTAGGTCACTAATAGTTTTTTCGCTGCGCCAACAATTGGCGCTTTCTGTACAAATGTTCCCCGGGGAGTCAGGACGCTACTGGAGGCCCCTGGCCTCACTACTACTTTGCTAGGGAAGACCGCGCCGAATACGGCTCTGTGTGTGTGTCACCCCTTGTACCAAAGGGTCCAATGCCTCCGTTTCCATTACCACCACTTAACAAGGCAGGGGCACACGGCATCCATGACCTACCGTGTGCAACGAAGCTGCGGTCATGGATGGGAAGGGAAGGCTGATCACCTTCCTGTACCTGCTTTCAACACACTGACTCCAATGGTCCGCCCTGCCGCTGTTCGTTGTTTTCATGGTCCTTCTTCATGCTACTGCCCCTCAAACTTTTTTCCTTCAGCCATTTGCAGCCGCCGAGGGTTTTGCAGCACGCCACCGCAGTCACGTGACAAACTCTTTTGTTAAAACATCTACACATTTGCGGACTCTCCACCTTGCCGTTCCATACCATTTTCCTGGAAACTGAGTTAACTGAAAACCAATGTCGAAGTGTGTTTGGTGTTTTTTGTTGTGTATTGGTCAGTTTCACTGCAGTGAGTGAATCCCCTTCTGCAGCATCATTTTGTATCTTCTTTCCGGGTTCCGCCGGTTCCGGAAAGCAACAAATCCAAACCCTGTCGCCCTGAGCACCCTGCTGTGTCCACGTGTTGCTTTCACGCGGTGTCGTTTTTTTCTGGAAAACTTCGAGTGGCTGTGTCCATCGATATCTGAGGATGATGCAGGCCATTGACATCTTGAAGACAGAAGGACATCTGTGGCAGGACAAGCGAAAGGCGTGACCCACCAACTCCGTGGGACACCGTTGGGACCTATGGGCCAGACGTTGACTACCGGTCGCCCACGGACTGTCTCTGCGCAGACCCTGTCTAGACCCTGCGCACACTGGGATGGTCCAAGCTACTCATGTGGACGATCCGATATGTTTTAATATTACCTGGTTCTTCAGTTCGTGACCGTACTTGATCACCTGGTTGGTTCGGTCACAGGATGGAACCTTCAAAAGGTCACTTTGAAGAAGCTGGTACAATCTGGTATATATATATAGTATATTTAATTATATATAGCTATATTGATTAATAAACCCCCCATATAAAGAGTCTACAGTCTACATTATTGCGCGATTTGGTACTACAGGGTTTGGCAAAAGGGCATTTCTTTGGGAGCCCAATTTGGGCATGGAGATTGTTTTTGCTGCCGTAGCCGAACCCCAGCCCCGGAGCGTTGAAGATGGATTCAGAAGATATCTGAATCTGGCTGACTGACAGATGAAACAAGATGATCCAAGTGTTTCAAGTGTAGTCATTGGTCTTTCACTACCAACCATGGTTGGTGAATAGCAGGGATATTTTGAAGGCAACAAGTCAACAAGTATTGGTACCAGTGTTGTTGGTGGAATTTCAGGTTTATGACGTCAGACGTCAGGTCAGTCCAGGTCTGTCCAGGTCAGCCCAAGCCGTGGCTTCAGGTTTGGATGCTTTCAAAGGAGGTGCCCTTGCCAAGTCGATCTGTAGGTTCCTTGGACATGCGACATGCGCTTTGACCAACAGAACTAACAGATCCACTGCGTTCCGGTAAGCGCCGGAAGTCCGTCCGGTCCGTCCGGACGCCCTCGAGCCGTGCCAGGTCCAAAAGGCCTTGAGTCGAAGGCGCCGGGGTTCCCCGCGGTGCGGCTGTGCGCCGGTGCGAGGAGATCGGAGATCGGGAACCATCCCAGGTGCCCCAGGTGAGATCATGTCCACCAAAAGGGAGATCCTTTTTGAGGCCTAGTATGGGCCATGGGCGATGGTTTCGGTTCACCATCCGCAAGCGGGAACGATTCGGTGGGTCCAGAGTTCTGGAATGTTCAACCGGGGGTTTTGCGAGAAAAGTCCTCGGTTTTCCCTGAGCCTGGCAGCCATCAGTCAGCAGCGGTGTTTTTTGGGGGTGCGGCGGCCCGAGAGGCCTCCCCCCTTGCGGTTTGACGTGTGTGGACGTGTTGTTCTTCTGAAAACACTCTGTGAAATCATCGAAATTCATAGAAGTGAAGTGAGCACGCATGGCATCAACCACCTGAACTTGGTCTTCGGATTGAACATCGCCATCCTGTGGCCATCCATGAAACCAACATGATGAGCTTCACGGAGTGTAGACCTTTCGACCGTTCTTTTTCAATGACATCTCAGCGAATCCAAGGGATGCGAAGCTGAAACCGAATCGGCTGCCTTCGCAACACTGCCGTCGATGGCGACGGAGGTCGAAAAGAGGTTTGCAGTCCTACCAAAAAAGATCAAAACCGATTCCTAGAGCCCAGACATGACCTCTATATTTTGACTGGAAAAATGCCAATACTTTGGGCGGTTGGTGGTGACACACAGAGGTCAAGTAAGGCTCAATAGGTAGAGGATCCTCCGTGTGTTATCGGGTCACCTTGCAGTAAAACGACCCACTTCGCTTCTAAGCCACCCCTGTCACTTCAGCACATGACCCCGGCAGCCTCAGCCACCCAGCCCCGGCTCGGCGGACTTCGGGGCCAGTCTGACCAGCAGTGTGACGACGCCCTTGTTCTGAGCGTGACTCCGGAAGCTCTTGGGGGGTGCGAAGATGGAATGAGCAGAGGAGAAGGGGCGCAAGTTCGGTGCATGAAGATGGAGCTTTAGTCATCAAGCATGCTTAAGCATGTCGACAGATGTGCATCAAGATGTTCTTTGTTCATGTTTACGAAGTTTTTTCTGTCTTACAGATCAGAACCAGGGCGCCCAATTCGATCGATCGAACTCCTGAGTGTGCCTGGTTTCACCGGCGCCCAGCACACCTCCGCTGGGGTCGGTTGGTGAGTTTCGACCTTGCACCAGTCGAGGCACCAGGGTCATGAGGCACAGAGGGCCATGCTGAGATTGACATTCGAAGTGACTTCAGAAGTGAATCGCGATCGCTGGATGATCAGCTGTCCTTCCTGGCCGATCAAGCTGGGATGCCCAAGCTCTTGCCAGCTCGGCACCTTTCATCTGGCCAAGGTCGGTACATGCCATATATGTGGGATGTGGCACCGGTGACAGAAGATCCGAAAAGGTCACATGACACAGCGAAGAAGATCCGACAAAAAGAGAAAATGGTCAGAAGATCCCAGGAAAACAAAGCATGAAGCAACTTATTTGCGGCTTCAAGCACCCCCAAGTCAGACTTGGTGAGACGGAGCATCGAACAATATATTCCCATAGATACATTAATGGGGTGACTGTTTGTCATGAGTGTTTCTCTATACAGAACAGAAGCCCTAGCAATGCTGCTCATGTTGCTCTCGCAGATTGGAACAAGCCAACCCCCAGATGCTCCTCTTTGAGGGTATACGGTTCCAATCGCTCTTTAGGAGATTGGTTTCTTTGCAAAGCATGCAAGAAGGGTGCATTTCTGGCACGGCTGTGCAACGAATTGGAGACGTAGAGCCGGGCTCCTTCGCTTCCTGAGGTTTTTACCCATATGGCTTTTATCGGTAGAGGGTGTGATTGCGAGTGCTTGGTTCGGTGCTGGGAGGGCACACTCATGTGTCAAGATGACCTGGTTTTGAGGTGACCTCAATCTTTGTGGGTGAGTGAAGTGCTGAGCCTGCTGGGGAATCTGCATTCTTTCCCGGCTTCCTGGACCAAATTTCAAATGATGGTCAGATGGATTCAGATGGTACTTTTACAAGGACACTGGACATCAGAACGCTCCGTCGCTCTGTCGCTCTGTACACACCGAACCAGCGGGTTCACCCGCGCGGGATGGAGTAGAAGCGGGTTTTTCGCGTTACGCGGGAATCGGCGGCTCAGTGCAGCCGACGTAGCGGGCTGTGACTCAGAGTTGGCCTCAAGGGCTCTTCTCTGGGCCACTCCCTGTCAAGAGAGATAGATCTGGACGAAATGAATGGCAGACAAAAAAAGTTGCTGTGGCTGGCCTTGGCCTTTTCAGGTGACTGGTCCGTATTTTTTCTTGTTTGTCCTTTCTTGCTACTCCACTCATCCCCGGTCCCCAAGCTGTTTGTTAGATCAAAAATCGTTGCATCACGGGTTCAGATGATGGGAGGGTTATCCAATCCGTTTTTTGTTTAATCGTGTTAGATTTCCTGCCTTGAAGAAGGCGTCTCGTTCACCAAAACCTTGATGTTACTGGTTGAAATGCAATTCAGGAGCTTTTCAGCATGAGAAGACAGAGTGAGGTCTGAGTCTATAGTCAATTTATACTCCATGTGCATATTTACCACGTTGGTATGGTTGACCAGGGGTCAATGTAGGCATACTTTGGAGTTCAACATGGAAGCCATCCAAGCATGCCAGATCGCGATTGAAATCGCGGTCTTTGTAGGCGTTTTTTGCTGGTCGAGTTCACTTCGGCTCCCAAGACCGACTCGTAAGGCTGAGAGTCCCAGCGTCAACACCGCCTCCCGACCAGTCCACTCGTAAGGCCGCGAAGGACAGTCCTCCACGTCGGGATAGGTGAATCACGTCGGGTGGTTTTGGCCCACAGGGCCGTTGCCTGGGCCGTTGCCAGATTGGTGGGAGAGCTGATCCAAGTTGATCCGACATGTGATCGGACGTGATCCATCAGCCCTTCAGTTCATCGGGTTCATCGGCCGTGGGTGGTTCTGGTCTCATGGCGGGTGAGGCGGGGTGCGGGGGGTTGCAGGATGTGGCATTGACCCTGCGGATTCCAGGCGGAAGCAAACATGGATCATGATTGGTACGTAGGGATTCTCAGGCTTCACCAAGCTTCACCACGTCAGGTTCGGAGTTTGATTTGGTGTATAGAAAGAATCTGGGCTTCTTTGGGCTCCAAGTAGTTCTTATTGTTGCACTTACAATAGCTTATACCTGTATATTAGTTATCCTGGAAGTTCACGTGTGACGAGTGAAATTGGGGGAGTATCAGATGGCGGCATTCCTTCTATCGATTCGAAAATGGACTTGATCCAGACGGTTTAAAGCCGCTGGTGTTCTCACTGCCTGTGCCGCCACATCAAGATGAGACCAAACCAATTTGCATAGAAAAAGCATGAAAAGACATAATTACTTTCCAGGAATCAATTGATGGTTCTATGTGATTCCCCACTTGCCAGGTGTTCTTCCCCATGTCGTATGTGTCAGGTAATGTCACGCAGCATTTCTACATCGACAGATGTGCCCCGGCCCGATTCCATTCTTCCAACTGGCCTTTCAGGGTGCGGTTTACTTGAAGTGGATTTGAGATATAAACCAACACCCGACTCTACAGGTCTCCGAAATGATGGCTTTTGTAGGCTCAAAAAGTGTCAGGTGATGACCTCTGAAGTCGGGTGCTGGAATACAGATCCCATACACTCCATGGGACTGCCATCTATGCCGCCCCATGGCACCACCCCTGGCACCGGCCGTTTCTCGCCAGTCCCATGGAGTGTGCGGTCCGGTCGGAGGTGGAACCTGGGGAGTTGCTGAAGGGTTTGCTTCGGGTCCATGACACTCCATGTTATCAAAGAAACGTCGTAATACCTCAAAACACATGGAGGAAGCATGCCGACCAACAAGAGACATGCCATTTGGTGGTCTTAGGTTTTACATGCCGACCTTGGCCCCTTAAAAAACATCATCCCCAATGTATGTCAATAAACCACCGACATTCAGCCAATCCCAATGATATCAAAATATCTTTGCCAATCCCACACCCCCCAAAAAACGGTGTTCTGTTTGGGTCACCCTGACCGTTTTCTTTTTTTCTCCAAAGAGGACGGTCGTTCTCCACACACACCAGGCCTCCCGATGGCTCCCCAGCACTGCCAGTTGGCGCGATGCCGTCCCGGCACCCCGGGGGAACGGTCGAGACAGAATGATACTCAGAGACGGTGGGCGCGCGTGGAGACGCGCGCGGGGGGGCGGGCGAGGCAGCGTGATGGTTACAGATGGATAAGGATATAGGATTGGCCACCGTGTGACATGGGATTGGCAACTACGTCATTGGACTTCATTGGACCCAAGAAGTCTTTAAGTCATTGGTCCCCAGTATAGTACTAAGGATCTTAGCACGACCGGTACCCAGGTCGTACGGCGTTTTCACGACCGGACTAAAAATCGTCCAGCGGAAGGTTCCACGGGAAGAAGAAGACGAGGCATCTGAAGCGAAGCGAAGGGACGTCTGACAAAACCTTCCGGAGGCTTGATCGTTCGCACCTGGAATGAATACCTAGCGCTTCCAAGGGGTGCCCAATGGAAACCTGTAAGTAGTTTGGAGATATCCAATGGTGTTTGACCCCTTGGGAGCACCTGGGATGAATATGAATGAATAATCCCATACACTCCATGGGACTGCCATCTATGCCGCCCCATTGCCCCCTGGCACCACCCCAACTGATCGGCATATATATGGCAGTCCCATGGAGTCTATGGTAATTTACGTTCGGTTTTATTTTTTCATGTGAGAAATCACAATATTTTTCATTTCGTGTGGACGTCCGTTGTTGAATGAAGCATTTCTTGAACCGCTCCTCTGCCCTATATGGAGACTTTCGTTCGTCGCCAGTTGACATCCCGCGGAGGGCGCAATCATCGAATCATCTCAGATATAGACCTCTCAACCAGCCCCAGCCCCGAGAAAGCCCCGGGATTCTGGCACCGCGCGTTTTGCGCGCACTGCCCAAACACGCGCACTGCTTCGCGCGTTGCGTGCGGCTCAGGTCTCCTGCGGACTATTGGCAGAGACCTGGCGCGGGTGACGGTGAGTGGAGTTGCCAAACGAAAAGTGGTTCACAGATCACCTAGGCACTCCATGCGTGGAGTAACGGTCGTATTCGTACGTTGGTACAAGTATTTGTTTGGTACAGTATCAGTATATTTGTTTGGTATACCTGTTTGGCACAGTATACCCTGTTTGGTACAGTGTACCCTGTTTTTATGCCATGTCCCGGTTTTTTCTAGGGTACTTGAAGTCCGGTGCATGGTGGGTTTGTAGACTTGAGACCTCCCATGCACCCCGGCCTTCGGACAAGAGATCAGTTGACCCAGCCAGGGCCAGAGGGTGTCCCTAAAATACATACAGCACATGTAATGTGCCCTAGGGATCCAAGGAGACACTGTGATGTAGGTGCCAGGAGGGTCCAATCGTGCCTTTTGGGAGACGGTACGACTAGATCTGTAGGGGTATGGAATAGGATGGGTCCATTGTATACGTAGGCAACTATTCCATGCATGGATGCTCTAGTTTTTGCAACGCATAAAAGTCTACTGGATGTAGTCTACTGTTTCTCGGTATGTGTTATATATAGGAGGGTTACTGCTTCGATTCGATCAGGAGGAAGAAAATTTGGCAACAGCTTCCCTCCAGAATCTCATTGACATGACTTCTCTTTCCCAATGGCATTGCGCGGAGAACAGGGAGGGGTATTTATTTTGGGATTTTTTTTTGTTTCTTTTTTGGATTTTTTTTTGTTTTTTCGTGGCTTCTGGCTTCTGGCTTCTGTGGCTTCTGGCTTTTGTAGCTTTTTTCTTCTGTGGCTTCTGGCTTTTGTGGCTTTTGGCTTTCGTGGCTTTCGTGGCTTCTGTGGCTTTTGGCTTTTGTGGCTTTTGGCTTTTTGGCCTATCCATCTATCTGTCTATACCTATCTATTTATCTATCTATTTTTCTTTCTTTCTTTTGGCAGCTGTTCTCCTTTCTCTTTTTGTATTTGCTTTTCCTGTTGTTTTCGTTGCAGAGACGAAACCAAACAAGGAAGCAAGCAAGCAAGCAAGCAAGCACGAGCTGCTCACCTTTGGATCTGGTGTGCTGCTGGGGGGGG